GAGGGGATTAGTTAACATCATGCTAAATGGAGAAAAGGTCACAGTTGTCAAAGATTTTGTCTTGCTTTGATCCACAGTCAATGCTCAAGGAAGCAACAGTCAAAAGATAAAAAGATACATTGCATTAGGTAAATGTGCTACACAAGACCTCTTTGTAATATTGGAAAGCAAGATTACTTTGAGAACTAAGTTGTACCTGACCCAAGCCATGGTTTTTTTTCCATTTGATTCCTATACATGTGAAAGTTAGGCATGGAATAAAGAAGACAGAAGAAGAAATGATACATTAGAATTGTGATGCTGGAGAAGAATATTGAAAATATCATAGACTGCTAAAAGGACAACCCTATCAGCCTTGGAAGAAGTATGGATGGCCAGAGTGCACCTTAGAGGCAAGGATAGTGAGACTTACTTTGATATACTTTGGGCATGTGCCCAAGAGAGTCCACTCTGTGGGTAGGCACATCATACTCGGTAAATTAGAGTGAAACAAAGGAAGAACCCCAAGGAGACAGCTTGAAGCATTGAAACAATTGTGAGAACAGCACAAGACCAGTTATTTCATTCATAAGGTGGATGTGTGCTGACAACTACCATGAGTCAGAATCAATTCTCCAGCTAAGGGTTAAAATAGGAACACAAACCAGTATACCAGATAATGGTGTCTTTAATACAACTTGTTTTCTTAAATTAAGGTAATATGGAAATTTGGTATTTAGGTCCACTTGACCTCAATAGGTAGTGGTTGTGAATATGTGTTTCTAATAATTGTTTTAGTTTTTTTAATCATTTTATTTGGGGCTCATACAATTCTTACCACAATCCATATATCCATCCATCGTGTCAAGCACATTTGTACATTTGTTACCCTCATCATTCTCAAAACATTTGCTTTCTACTTGAGCCCTTGAAATCAGCTCCTCATTTTCCCCCTCCCTCCCTGCTCCCCCCTCCCTCATGGACCCTTGATAATTTATAAATTGGCTTAAATTTTAAATAAATTCATGTCCTTTGTGGGACAGGGTTTATTCGAAATAGTCGGTGGTATTTTGGGGGTGATTTCAAAAACAGCCTATCAGTCCATTCCTGTCACCCCTATCCCTATCTCACTTCCAAGAAAAGGCTCCCATTATCTTTCTCAGAGAGGCCACGAGAATTTTATGTTTTAATCAATGCATATAAGCCTGTGAGGCGATCCACGCCCAGCCTATGGCTGCTGAGTCACGCCCAGCTCACCTTGGCCCTACAGAACCAAGTAGACGCTGCCAAAGTTGTGTTTCGGGAGGCCAGTTGTCTCATCTTTCTCCCACCCAGTGACTGGAGGGTTCCACGTACTGACTTTTCCTTCAGTTCACAGCCCACCTGTGAAAATATGCTGATTTTCTTTCTTTTCCTTTTTTAGTTCTGTATCCATATGTAACCACTGGTGATACAGTGGTGTAAGTGTTTGGCTGCTTATAGAAAAGTCAACCCCTCAACCCACTGGCTCTTTAGTGGAAGAAAGATGAGACAATTATCCTTGGATACCCTAGGGAGAAGTTTGTTTTGTCCTAAAGGGTCTTTGTGATTTGGAAATTAATAAAAGGCAATGGGTTCCATCATGGGTATCCTTATATTTAAGATTTGCGTCTTTGACAGTTGTTGTTTGCATAGTGACTTTTCAGCACACTCACAGTTAATGTAATTACTACTCTGTTTACATCTTGTCTTCTCCACCTAACTGTGTGATTTCTGGTTTCTCATCACTTCCTAAAATTTTGTATCATTTTCTCATTTCTTTTTTATTAATAAATATATATTTTTAATTTTACCACTCCCAAAACATTCTTCAGCTATGGATAGATTTATTTATCTATTCCTTTACTACTAACCTAGAGGGTTAATATCCATATTTAACTGAATATTCTAGTGTGCCAGGTTAGAGGCTGAAGCTCTTCGTTGATTCCATGGGGGAAAGATGAGGTTGTCTGCTTCTACAAAGATTAAAGCCTCGAAAACCCCAGTTTTGCTGTGCCCTATATAAGGTTGGAATGAATTGGGATGGTAGTGGGGTGGTGGGAGCTTTTTACATGCATTCATTATAAACTCCATAAGATACTTGTTTACTATTGCGTATAGAGTCAATATCCATTTATAATTATCCACGTAATAATTTTCAGTGCTCTTTATTTTTTGCTGCATTTTTACATTTCTTTTTGAAATAATTTGAATTTTTTCTGAAGAATTTCCTTTAGTATTGTTTTGTACTTGTTTTTTGTTGCCAATTCTGCACATCTTTAGTCATCTTTAGCTTGAGGGATATTTTTCCTTCTGAATAGAATTGTAGAAGATATCTGTTGAAGTGTTACAAGATAGCATTTGTCTTCTGAATTCCCCCACTCCTTTTAAGAGAAAAAGCTGACAACCTTATTTTTGCTCATTGACAATTGTTTCTTTAGTTTTTGTTTGGTTCAATACTTGATTTTTCTGACTGGTTGTCAGAAACATTACTGTGATATGCCTATGCATGATTTTCTTCATAATTACTTTCTATATGGTTTAAACACTTCTTGGATCCTTGCCTTTATGTACTTCATTTTTTAAGGAAATTTGTGGCCAACTAGTTTTTTGTTATTATTATTATTCAAATCCTCTTTCTACATTGCTCTTACTTCCCTTGTAATACTCCACTTACACATATATTCGACTTTTATGTTACCCATTTTATTACTTGAATTATTTTCTGTATTTTCCTTTCTGTTTGCATTTTTTGCTTAGTCTTAGACTAGATAACTTTTGCTTATCTTCCTTCCAACTCACCAATATTTTCATCTAACAATTCCAAGATGTCATTAAATATATTTAGTTTCTATTTCAGTTTTTATACTTTTCCCTCTTTCACACTGTCTTACTTTTAATAAATCATGTATTCTATGCACATTTCACATGCCTTGTAGGAATTTTTCAAATACATGAAGCATGGTTTTTGTTTTAAGTTTAAAAGTCAGCTGTCATTACTGGGTTATGTGTGGTTTCCTTCTGTTTTCTAGAATTTTTTTTCTTTGCATATCTGGACTTTTGATCAAAAACTATCCATTTGAAATATGGCAGAAATTGTGATTGGCTTCCTTCTTGAAAATGCCAACTCTACTATTTGTAGATACATAGATTTCAGGGGAAAATAGACTCATCCAAATCAGTAGCTGAGCACTTTAATGCTGGGTTGAGTGTCTAAGTGTAGTTTGCTCCACTTTCAACTGTGGCCCTTGGTAATTTCCAGCTGCAGCCTTCTTTGCTTCCTAAGACTTCCTGCAGCCATTCCGACACCTGGTGTGTGCTTTCCCTGCACTATGGCAGAGTAGAAACCTCTCCCAGTTTGAATAATGCTTATTTGCTTAGGTTCTTAGTCCTGTCCAGTGAAGATTAAGAAATAAGCTCATCATTTCTTCTGTTTGAGTTTTCCAGCATTTTGTTTCCAAAACCTGAGGCTTTCTATTCTTAGAAGATTGACAAAATTCTCTTGATGTCTTTTCTGATCTTGACCTTCTGTGAGATTCTTAGCTTTCTACCTCTGCTAATTGGTGGCAAACTGACAAAGTCCCTTGGGGGGAAATTAATTCTGAAATATAATCACACTTTTCTCTCTTGCTTCTCTTTTCCCTTCCTTTTGGCTCCCCTTCCTTCTCCTCTCTTCTCTCCCCTTCTTTCCTCTTCTTCCTCTCCTCTTTCAAGTCTGCCAAATGTTTGTACCTCTCTGGTAGGGTCACCACGAGTTGGAATTGACTTGATAACAGTAAATGTGGTTTGGTTAAGTGCTTCAAACAAGGTTTTTAAGAGTGTTTCCATAAAAAAAAAATCTATCATAACTTGAAGGCAACAAAATATTAAGTCATCGGGGATAGTGCTAACTGCTGGTAATATTTTCAAAAGATACCCAAACATATTATATGCATATATAATACACAAAACATATATATTTTATTTCTTTATATATCTAACATTTGTTTTATTCAAGAACCTAATATTCTGCTGCCTAAGGTACAAAAAACCAAAACAGAACAAAAAGACACATAAACAAGTTGATTGTGCTTAGGTTCAAAACCAAAAAACAAACCTAATGCCATAGAACTGATTATAATTTATGGAAATCTAGAAGGCAGAGCAGAACTACTCCATAGAGTTACCAATGGTGTTAGACTGGGTTAAATAGAAAAACAAATTCATTGACACTCATATATGTATAAGAAAGTTTTACATCAAAGGGCAATTGTATATTAAGAAAACATTCCAACCCAGTCCAGATCAAGTCCATAAGTCCAAAAGTCTGTACATTCCAGTGGGTGCAAAGTCTGTGATCCAGTGGTAGTGAAAGCATCCCTAGGGCTCTTGCAGGCCTCAGCATGGTTCCCCATGGCTTGTGAAGCAGAGAGAGAGGGGCCAGCCTCCCATAACCATTCATCTTGGTTGCACCTCCAAATGAGGTCATCAAGCTGCGACCTGACTGACAGGCTCAACTCCACCCCTACATTTTATTTATCACTTCGACATGAAATTATATAACAACCACACAAAGGCTGTAAATCTTTATGAAAGCAGACAATTTAAACTTATTCCTTCATATCAGTTGTTGTGTTCAGACTACCAATGTTTCAATTAGTAACAGAACACTTAAGCTTCCTGAGCTCCAGGTAGATATATTAGAGGTACTAAAAAGTGTGCTATAGGAACGCAGAGTACTAAACCTGACCTGAGGAAGGATTAAGGCAGATGAATTAGGAATGCTTCCTAGAGGAGGTGTGGATATTGAAATTAATTTCCAAGATTGCGGGAAAAGCTAATCAGACATAAATTGTCACATACCTGTTTCAATAGGATTTTTAAATATTCCATATTAATCCTGTTAGTTTATTATGCATTGCTATTATAAATTACATGTGAATTTAAAACTTATTAAAAATATGTTTTGGGGAAAACAAAAGTTAGTCTTAAATTTTTAATCATGGCAATTGATTTTTCCACAGGTTTTCAAAGCAATGAATATCCCACAAATCAGGAACCCTTCTCTGCCTCCTCCAGAAAAAATGCCTCAAGCCTATGCTGCAAAGATTGCTCTTCTGGGTGCTGGGCCTGCCAGTATAAGTTGTGCTTCCTTTTTGGCTCGATTAGGCTACTCTGACATCACTATATTTGAAAAACAAGACTATGTTGGTGGTTTAAGGTAATGCCTACATTTATTTTATGTTTATTGTGACAAAAATGAATTGGTAAAATAATTATGAATATTATTGGTTCATAATCATATAGACACTTCAAATGCACAGATGGTATTTTAAGTGTTTTTTTCCAAGTGTTCAAGTTTTGATTACATATCTCACTTTAAATTTTGCAGTTGGCTTTAAGCAATATTTATTTTAAAAGTTCTCTGTCTAATTCTATGAATTTAAGATTAATCTCATCAAAATATTTTATGGATACCAATCTGGGGGAAAATGATCTTATTCCTATGAATCAAGGAAATTGGAGATAGAGAAAGCTATTTCCATAGAATATTAGAATCTTTTTTTGTCTACATAATTTCTCTTAACTTATTTTCAGTTTATAATCGCCCAAATCCCACATATCAGAGTGGATTGAAAATGCTCTAATATTGTTCATTTCATTCTTTTTACTAAATTGTCATCTTGCTTAAACAAAATACATATAACATCTGGCCTCTCTGTTGCTATATCAGAAATATATTGTGATGACTGTTCAACCATTCATTAAGTAATATACTCATCATGTTTGAACATTGCAGAATAAATTCAGTGCACTGTGACTGCAATTCATGTATATTTTTCTGACACATCTAAAACTGTTAATCATTGTACAAAGGTGAATATTGTTCAACTATAAATATGTTAAACCAAAGATAAGCTATCATTAATATAAACCTATTGAATGGGATTATCAGACAAACATACCAGACAGTTGGAAGACTCTTTAAAGAAGCTATGAAGACTAAATAAGCTGAAGAATAAATAACTTTATGGTCATGAATTAATTATTTTTCTGTATTGATGGTCTACCAGTATGAATTTTAGAGGATTATACCTATTTTATTTATTTTCCTAGAAATTAAAATACATATACATTATTTAACTGGAGGGATTTAGACTGTTTTTTAAATGGTGCTTTACCTAAGCTTTAATAATTAGAAAATACATAATCTATAGACAACATATGTATAAGCATTGTACATTTTTTTCATTTGTACACATCAGTGAGTGAATATGTGAGCTAATTTAGAAAGTATGAACTTAATTGTTGTGTGCCCCAAAAAAGTAGAAAAAAATTGTATTTGTCCCTTAATTGTCATTTCACAATAAGACTAAATTGGAAATAGCCCTGGTTGAGAATTACTCCATGTTAACAATTTTGGTAAAAGTTTATTATGAATACTTACCTGGCAGGGGAGATACCATGATCACGAAGGTGGTTTTCCCAGGGCGAGGCTCACCCATTGCACTCCGGGTGTGCTGACCCCTGCGATTTCCCCAAATGTGGGAAACTCGACTGCATAATTTGTGGTAGTGGGGGACTGCATTCGCGCTATCCCCTAAAAAAAAAAGAAAAATGTTTATTATGAATGTGAGCATCTCTATTTTTTTTAAACACATATGCCTAGGCATTTCTAGATCATGCAAATTGGCACTAAATGTTTGTCTGTATATATTTGCTGAACATTTTCCTGAAGGACAGATAATGCCTTAATTACCGACCCAACTTCTCTCTCTCACTTTCTTAAGCTCATTTATTTATTTGCTTATTTCCTTTCCTTTGACTTCGGTTATTCTGAGTACCAAAGGATACCATGAAGCATTCAGTGAGCTCCTTTGGATTGTGTCACCATGGTAGGATGTTGAAAATGGACATTGGAATTTCACCAGTTTTATAGTTACGGCCGATTCCTGTTAATCTGTGTTCTTACTTGCAAATGCTTCACAGACTCTTGTACCTTCAAAGTAGTGAAAAATAAATTAAATTAGTTTTATATTTGTAATCAATTGCTTAAAGAGGTAATGTGAAGTTTTATCATTCCTTCTCCTTGTATTCAGTCAGGTTCTTTTATCCCAAGTGAATTCATGTAGCAACCACTGAAAAGAAAAAAAAAAAAAGGAAAAAAATGCTAGTGTTGGTGAGAGAGATCCAGAACTCAATCCCTCCTACTTTGAATAAAACTGATTGATTATTTTTTGGTGCTTCAAAATATTCTAAAATAATCAGCTCTGCTTTCCTTCTATCTTGGCTCTTTTTTTAACCCCCTTGATGATGGTTTTAAATGGTTTAAAAGGCTTGAGATTATAATTAGAAAGATAAGAATAGTGATATGCATGCATGAACAAATGTATTTCATGATTATGATTTTCCTTATAGAAATTAATGTATAGAAATTTTTAATGTTTATTGCTTAGGGTAATCGCAGAAAGATTATCCTCTTATTTAGCTATTCTAAATGTTACAGTTTTTTCACTGTGTGAGTGTTCCTCAAAAGATATTGCTATTTGGATTCTTGTTTATATATGTACTGGTTTCTTCCGAAAACAGCATGTTTAAACATGTCTCTGACACCAAGGATGACTGCAGACAGTTGTAATAGTCACATGGGGGGAGGGGCTTCACAACAAACAAAAAATAGTACCATAGAAATAGTGGCCACTGAGAAGATCTGCTGAGCTTCCTAAGAAAGAGGGGTCAGCTCAGAAGGCTGGTAACTGTTTGGTGGTGGGGGTGGGGGTGGGGATTTCAAATGGGACAGCTTGATAGATGTATTGGAAGGATACAGGGAAATCATAGGGATTGTTAGGAAGAAAATGTTAAATGTTTGAAAATTGCATTGGTGGAAAAAAGGCCCGGAAAATTGTGCCAAGGATTTCTTTTTCTCCCCCAGCATATGCACTTATTATTCTTTGAATGCACAACATCTGGTACCTTTAAAAATATGAATGAAAACAAAGTTATATCCAAGCATGCAAACTCGACTTTAAAAAGAGCAAAAATAATTTGTGATAGGTAAGTTCATCATACATGAAAAGACATACATGTGCAAGAAGAAAGATTTCTTCTTATCTGACCAGTACTCCATGAATTGTACTGAAGAAATTGTAGTCGCCAATAATTATATTTTATTTTAAAACGTAGTTTAAAAGCAAAACAAACTTGCAAAATGATCATTCCTATAAAATCACATTTGATGTATTCTTAAGTATGTTTTCATCAAATAATTTTGAGGTCTATATTCATTTACTTCCCTGGTTTAATTAAATGTCCGTGCCACTGATTTTTAAGAAATCATATCTGTTCTGCTTTCTGGATCTTGGACAACTGACTCGTACCTACAGCCCCAGCTACTTTTTCCTTCACAAACCCCACAAAACTGAGGCTGCTCTTCTTTCTGAGTTTGCTGTCTTACTGTTGACTTCATCCAGAAAGTACAAACTGCTCTCAGTTCCCAGTGATTATATTTTGTGGATATTTAAATAAATACCTTGCCATCCTTCCATCTCTATTGTGTTAATGACTCCCTTACTGTTCTGTATGAAATTATTTTCAATAAATCACATAATATAAATAAACATTTGTTATTCTTAGAAACAAAAATAGACAAGAAGTAACTTCAGTGTTATTCTCGACATTGTCACTCTTTAACCCTTTGAACACAAAAACTCATGTACCCATCAAAATAAACTCACTGTCTCATCCAGTTGACCCTTATGGTCCTGCCAAATAACAGAATCAAAGTCATTCATTGCACTTCCTGAACGACCATTGTGTCAACTACAAATCAGGATTTCAAACATTCCTGTAGTATTACAGGGGCAAAGACACGCTTCTTGCAAGGAGTTAAAAGTGAGAAATGCCTGTAACTGAAGCCATGTGTACTGAGGGACCACTGTTAAACTGAAATTTTCCAGATTACCTTCCATGTAGAAATTAGTTTATTAAGGAATGGGTGATAAAATAATCTATTATGCACGTAAAAGCTGGAAAATGAAGACAGCAGACTGCATAGAAGTGACGCCTTTCAATCGCGGTGTTGGTGAGTGAATGAACAAAGCGGTCTCAGAAGAACTACAGTAAGAATAGATCAGTTCATGGATAAGGAGATCAGACTTGCTAAAGTAGAACATCGAGGAAAAAGAGCAAGACGCTGAATGAGGTGACGACAGTAACTAGAACAATGGACTCAAACAGCTACACCTGTGAGGGCAGTCTAAGACAGGCATTGTTTCAGTCTGTAATAGAGTCCCTATTAGAACCATCACACCTAACAACAAGAACAATAAAATTTAAATTGTTTCATTCTTCCATATACCATATATACTTGAGTATAAGCCAAGTTTCAGCACATTTTTTAATGCAGTTTTTGTGCTAAACTTAGGTGCCTTGGTGGATATTCGGGTCAGCTACTCGAGTATATGTGGTATGTCCATCTATATATTACTTTAAATTACTGTAGCATATTGAATATACTACATGTTATTAAATTGCTTGCTTTATTGAACTTAGTGTTGTTGCTTTTGACCAATTTTCTCTTCATTATTGGCTCTAACATTGTTTATATTTATGTTCACACCAGTTTCTATTATAGCTTTTGTTCTTGTAAGTTGCCACCGCATTGTCTCTTGCTTGTGGTGAACATATGTATAATAAAAGGAAACATTGCCCTGTAATTTGTTGCCATGCAACTACAATTTTGGATGTCATTGGGCCTACATTCTGTGACGTGCAAAATACCCATAAAATAGATACTCATTCCTGTAATACCGATCAATAAAGTCACATTGCATATTTTTTAGGACAGACGTTTTGGGGTGCTTTTGTTGTTGTTGTTGTTGTTGTTGTTCATTTTTTCCCCTTAAATGCTTCTTGTATCTTTTTGGTTTTAGTACTTCTGAAATCCCTCAGTTCCGGCTGCCATATGATGTCGTGCATTTTGAGATTGAGCTTATGAAGGACCTCGGTGTAAAGGTAAATGTTGCTCAGGAAGAAAAGACTAAGCTCTACACTAAAGATTAACAGCAAAATGTCACGCATTTTAAAAAAAGAACAATTAAAACCTACACCAGGCAGAAGCCGAAAGATGCTTCCCCTTGCTTAGGGCATTTGTCTGTCTACTGTCTGAATGCCACTAGCCTGGAAAAGGGCAATCAATAGTTCTCATCTGGCACGCCTGCATGTGATTAATTGTCTGTAAGAAACAAATTCCTAAATTGCTTTAGGGGTTCAGTGCAGCTAATAGGAGGATTTACTTTCTGTAATCACATATTTCCCCCATGCAAGTTGTGTGCACTCTAAAATATTCACATTTCACAATTTAGAGTGTGATTTCTTACAGAGGTTTATTTTTGCATATTATAAACAACATATTAGAAATGGTAATGTGATAATAATTTCGCTGCATAAATAAACAAAACAACAACAAAAACCAGTTCTGGATTATATAGGGTATTGTGAACTACAGGACGTATTCTTCTTTTAAAGCTCGCTGAAAAGTTAATGCATTGCATTTTTAATATCTAACTTTAGGTGCTGCTATTCTTTTCGCTAGAACATGGTGCTATTTTTCTTTGAAAAATGCTCATTTCTCAGAGAGATAGGGTCACCTGGTCACATATATCTGAGTTACAGATAACTCTTACTTGCTCTTTCATAATATGTAAATGTGTCCTCAGTTTGAAACCATTGAGCTAACCCCTACACTCCCAGCATATTCTGAATCGCAGACTTCACTTGTTGTACAGGCAGCCTTTGGATCATGGAAAAGGCTGCAGACCTTCTCTAGCACTAGCATAAGTGCAAATGAGAACAGTGTGCACCTCTTACAACTGACCTACAGATATGATTTAATACACCTTTTAGGACGGCATTCATCCATAGTCTGGGGACTGCGTGTATAATGCAATAGCTCAGTAAATACTATGATTTACCTAATACTTTCTGTAAGTAAATGTAATTGTGATTTTGAAAACTAATTAACAGACTACTCTTGTGTTTATCCAATGAAGATTAAAATTAATAAAATGAAGAACCCTTAAAACTGTCTTTGTGATGTTGCCCTTAAAACACATTTAATTTGGCAGTGGTGGTGGGGAAGAACCATTTCAACATCGTCCCTAAATGAGAGTCTGAAATCAAGAACATAATATGGGTTGTCCTTGACTTAGAATGCAGTTCCATTCAGATGACTGCCATACATTAGTTCTTAAGTCAGTTGAATGTTTATTTTTAAAATTATTATTGCCTTTTTTGGAATAAGGATCTGTTTGTGCATCCAATATGTATTTGTCTTTATGGGTCGGACACATTCTATATAAACATACAGATGTACTTTAATACATATATACATCAAATATATGTCATAGAAATACAATCCAATGAAGAAGAACTGGACAACATCGACATTTCGTCAGTTGTAGTCATGGTTTCCCTAGTGAAGGTCTGGATCATCTGGCTCATCCTTGCGAATGGGGTACCATTACTAGTCCAAACATTTAGTGGGAGCTGCTTTTATGGTCATTTGCTTTCTGTTCGTCATGTTTCCTGGGTAACATCTCACTGTTTCCCAAACCTGTCTAGTGGCTTTAGTAATGTCATTAGTGCTGGGCTCATGGTTTCAAGAAACCAAAGCTCTGATTTAGTTTAGAAAAAAAGAATCTGAGAATGTTAACAGCAAATTACATGCTGCAATATTGTCTGTCATACACATCACTAACAAGATTTCCATAAAATTAAACAAAACAAAAAAAGAGGTGGTTAGTACAGTTCGTCATAACTCAAATACATCAGGAGTTGGGAACTATTTGTATATTTGTGCTCAGTTTAATGGAAACCCAAGGATGAAAATACAACATTCAACATAGATCATTTAGGGGAGATTATTTCCTTTACAAAAATACACTGTGAAAATTTATTTAAATGTTATTTATTTTTAATATAAGTTCCAATTTCAATTATCTCAAATAAGTAAATGCTTATTTATTGAGACTTCAGACTAATAAATTAGGTGTTACTACCAACTGAAGATGAATCCGAAGTTAATTTTACAAATTTCTGAATTTATCATGTCAATAACTTCAAAGTTGCATTGCATTTTCACAGCAATAGATGTATTGCACAAATTAAGACACACTCATAATTCTTCTTTAAAACGTCTTCCAGATATAATAGCAGTCAGTGTGCAGAGTGTCATAAGATATATATTTTTGTTAAAATCATGCTACACTTTTATTTTATATGCTTATAACTTCTTTCTGCAAAATAAATTAATACTCCTAGCCAGGGCATGTTTAAAAGAAAAAAGTTACAC